AGTTAGTCTAACGAAACTCATATTGGCATCACATTTATTCATATAAGCTGTTGGCTGGCATTCCATTTTCTACAAAGAGTTCATGATAAAAATCGCCATGGTTAATGACCCAAGGGCGACGCTCTATAAGATGGACACTGCCATCTTATAGAGCATAAAAATGGGTAATAAACAACACAGGTACAGCTGCAGCGGCCTCTTATTTACCGCGAAATGACGAAAATATCCGCTGCATAAAACCGCTCACACAACCAGAGTCCATAACGTCTGTTTTACGTAAGTAGGTACGAAGTACTAATAAGGGGAATATATAAAAAAGTAGTAAAGATAAGGTTTGGATTTTGGGTTCGCAAGATACTCTGGTTTTGGGACTTCGCCATATTTATTATCAAAAGAAAAAAAAAAAAAAGTAATTTCAAAGTATAAAGATTGCTTCTGACTACGCAACCTTAAGGATCTCTCAGTGACTAACAGAAATTGTATATAATCTTGCAAACAACACATATCTTCGTATAGTTCAAGAGTCTAATGCTTACAGTATTAGTACCACAGCCCCCATTGAACGGGTCTTGGATGACCTTACTTCCTCGTTAGTTAGCAAAGCCTTCTCCAGACTCCTCAACCTTGATCCTTCTCCTCAGCTCTTGTTCGTTCTGTCTCTCAACCACTATATATTCTTGTCAAAATTATCTCCTTGTATCCATTTCGGTTTATTATGCGTCTGAAGAGGAACACGTGAAGAGTTCGAAAATCACGATTTATTTTCATTTCTTACTGTGGCTGTTTTCCTTTTCATATTTTTGTACACGTCACTGTGTTTGTGTCTAAATATAGTACGTTATGGATTATAAGAGAAACATTTTCCTTACACAAAGTCCAGTCTTCCTTCAAGTAACGGTTTATCTTACCTAGCTAAGCATGGATAAACCCATAACCGTTCCGGTAGTTAATGTATTACTATGCACTAATCCATGTATTTAGGGCATTCTTTAATCTTTATTATATTTTTTAACGTGTTTTGATAATTATATATGCTATTCTATACAATAACCTGTGCATGAAGGTGATTTGACAGGGATATTTGACAGGCCGTCAGACGCCATTCAATGACAAACGCCAGCGAGAAATGTTTCGAATTAAGTGTTGCTTTAATTCCTTATCATTTTTAAAGCAATATAGTGGCTATGCAGAAGAAAGAGACATGAGTATCTATCACAGCTTGATGTTTGAGCCTATCAAGTGCCCCAAATATCGAAAAAAGTTAGAGCAATTCAGACCATAGACGGAAGCGAAGGAAAGTTCGGTATTTCACTATATTCAAATACGTGGTCCAGAGGTCAGAGGCTACTTTGGTTTATTTATTAGGACGTATTGTACGATTACCATGGGGTTTACAGTAAGTCTGTATCATATATAGTTATAGATCAATTGTTCATAGGCCTACAATTTCGGAACTCTTCGTAATTTTCATTACATTGATTGTCTCCAAATGTTTAATGTTTAACATTAAAATTTCTCATGCATGTTGTGCCGTGATTCTTTAAATTGGGCAGTGAATCAGTTTGAAATTTTCTACATCTTGCGTATACATTGTACAGAAAGAAAATGCTGACATTGCACATTATTGTCATCAGACTTCTGCACCAGCGTATGCAGTGTTCGTATAGGAGTGGTACCCTCTAATTCTAGGGTCTGGTTTCATTTTAGTGGCTGATGTGAAAGGCTCTTGTAAACAGATAACGTCAACATTATTGTTATGAATATAGTAAAGCAAGTCTACGGTTAACACCACGTATATTACATGAAAGAAAAGTAATTGTTTTCTTGTCCCCCATCACATCCTATCATTAGCGTTTCTGTTTCATGTATTTCCGGCGTTATTTTCACTGTCGTCACCGTTTTCTGATGATTCGTCGATGGTATCTTGCGTGATAACAAAATCAGAGACCTCATTCGTATTTTCAACATCACTAACATCATTACTAATCTTATTTTCCCTGTCTACTACCCGATCATATTTTATTTCCATAACCATTTTTCTCAAATTCAGCAAG